CAAAGTGGTTGAACTAAATCTTGTCTCCATACACATTCTAACGTCTTAGGTGAGAACATTTTGATAGGGTTTTACTGTACTATTATAAAATGACAAAAATCTTACTTTGAGGGTAGAGACGAGTTTTATTTTTTTATTTATTTTTTAATTTTAAACGCTAATAACGTGTAAAATATTCATTAAGATATATGACACATGATCCCTTTTAAGTCTTCACCCTGTCGACCTTTAATTAAGAAGAATAATTTAATAGTATTAATGCCCCTTTATACGCAAGCTACAGTGCCACATTTCGTTTCTTAAACTTTATCTATTTTGAGATATTGTTTAATATTTCAGAACAGAAAATAAACAAATTAGAGGACAACACACACACGCGCGCTAATTCTTCGCCTTTTATTGACTTTTTTGGGGGGTTTAGGAGGTATCCAAACCTGTAGATTTGCAAAAAAGACTTGGAGGGTCAAATTTGACATCATTTCAATACTTTTCTGTTTTATATACATAACAAGCTGGTAAGTAAAAAAAGTCCGACTCGGATAAAACACCAAAATTCTACGACTCCGACTCCAACTCCACAGCACTGAGAAAAAGAAAGTACGCTTTTTATCATAAGAGTCGCCATTATTGAGTTTATTCTGTTAAAATATAAAAATACTTAACAGATAACAAAGGAAATCTAAATAAAAAGTACAGTAGAGCGTCGTTTATCCGAAAGTCGGTTATCCAAAACGTCGGTTATCCGAAAGAATTCCAGTCGGCCTAAAGTATAATTTTTATTTGTATTTATATTTTTCAATGTATTTATTTCGTTTGTAAAACATAAAGAAATCATTTTTAACGATACAATAACCACAATTATTAATTTTAAAAGTTTACGTTAGGCTTAACATCGACGAAAATTCAACGCGAAGCGACACGCAACGGAGAAAAATTTCAACACTGGATAAGTTAATATATTTTTTCGTACATAATCGGTTATCCGAAAAATAAATTATCCGAACAACCCCAGTCCCCAATTTATTCGGATAAACGACGCTCTAATGTATATAGAATAAACAAAAGTGAATAAATGGAATTAATACAGTACTTTGGCATATTGCAACTTCGTAAATTTAATTATATTTTCGGAATATTTCACACGCCGTTCAAATTATTGATGCTGGCTATCGTTTGTTGCGCTTTTTCCTCTCGAAGAATAGACCTGGAAATTAAATTTCATGCATGTTAAATTTGTCAAGTTCACTATATGCAAATTATTAGTAACGTATGTGAGAATCCTTTCTCTTGTAACTTGAAGATGTAAATTGAAAGGCATTTCTTTGTCAGTGCTTTAAATTAATAAAGCTATTGAAAAAATTCTGATTACTTAATTAATATTATAAAAATACATATTTAAATATACCGTGCAGGTGTAGTTTTTTTTGGATTCTAACTTTATCTGGTTGATTTCTCTTTAACTAAACATGTTTCGATGGAAGAATTTGCTTCTACGTGCCGAACTGAAGCCAAACCCGGGAAATTTTCTATACAAAGAGTTAGGTGTTTTTACCGTTGTCCCGAAGTTCAATAAGACTTTTGAGCACACGGATAAATTTACAAATAATTACTTTAAATGTAAAGTGGTAATTAAGTTTCAGAAGGCTTTTAATAATAGTAAATCTCTTCCTAAAAACATCAGTTAATCAAAAACCTTACGTAGTACAAAGAAAATCACAATTTCTATAGCGGACGTATGCGTACACATAAAATGAAAGCAACATCGCACGTAAATGCCATACAAGAACATATTTGAAAGACAGTGTAAAACCGACGATGTAACCATTCTCTCAGCCACGGCAAGAAAAACAAAGAAACTGAGCTAAGAAAGATATCGTCGTTTTTGAAGTGGCTTTGTACTTTGCCTCGGCATTACTGAATAAAAGAGGGAAATGCCACGAACATGTATTAACAGGGTTGAATACACTCCTATTAACTTGCTGCTGACTATCGATGCGTTACAGATGACTGAACGCAATTAATATCATACATAATCTTAAAGATTCGGTGAGTTTACTCTTCTATATTTTCTCCGTCTTGTTTGACAAGATTCTACACATTTAACACAAGACTCTCTGCGTACATCAAATGAAAATAACTAATGATTTCTACATTCTCCGCTTTTACAGTAGATTAGAAATTATATCGGAAGTATATCGATGAAATTTTCGTGTAATGAAAAACGAAAATAACATAAAAAAATTTATTCACTCGCTCAATCGTGTCCTTAAATTACACCTTAATTTAGATCAGGGTATTAACAAAGTATATTAAATAAAAGCAGAATACTTTTAATCAATGCAACAAACTTTTATACTTTCTTTAACTTAGCGTATATCGTATTTAATGTATAACACAATGTATTTTAAATTTTATGCAATCGTTGTCTTTATTTCAATATATATTTGTTAATTTCGGAACAGATATCAACAGCCTTTCATCTCTTTAACCACTCTTTGAACTCTGGTAGGGCTTCCCACTCGTGTTTGTAGAATTGTTCATATTTATTCTTTTTGTAACACCGGTACTAAAGCCTTCACCACCACTATCGTATTTTTGGTTACTCATTTTCGGATTTCTATTATTTTTTAATTATTCACAGTGTGAATAATTAAAAGAGTATATTTTTGGCGATTTCTGTTATAATGTAACCAGTGATCATGCTACTACATAATACAGGGCTCTGAACAGATCAGCAGTAATAATTTTGTATTGCAATAAAGTCTTTTACAATATATAAAAAATGAAGGTATAAAGAAATGTTTTATTGTGAATTTTTAGATACATTGAAAATAAAATTTTCTTTCTTGAATTATCGTCAACTTTTCGGTAGATTTAATGCTTCAATCGGTAGATCTACCGAGAATTCGGTAGAAGCAACAACTCTGCCACCTCTCCCTACCACTACTTTCTTCAACCATTAACATCTTTTATTTATTTATTGCCAAGCCCAGCTATAATCGATAGAATTAATGTGAGAAATCTTTGTTTTAAGACCATTAAAAAATAATAAGTGAACTAGAAATTTTACGCTAAATACAAACAAATACTTGAGTGTAAAAAAAAAGTTGACGACATGGAATTTTTTTGGTATTTCTTTTCGTTTTTACCAAGTTGAAATCTATATGAAAATGTACAAAAATCCTACGCAGTTTTTTATTTGCAGCCCTGCGTAATAGAGAAAACATTTCTGTTGAACACAATATAACCATTACTTATTCAGGCAATTTTCATTTTATTCTATCATATTGAATTATTTTATTTATGGCTGTGGACTTTTAATTTATCATTAATGCATTTGATTGCTTTATTTTTACCTTAAATTACGTGTAATCTCTGTTCTATGTTTATCGAAATCGATATAGTTTCGAGTCAGGGGAATATTTTAATTGACTTTTCGTTATTTATAACGTGAAAATTGTTTCGGACTTCGAACGAGTGTATAATGTTGAAGTTTCTGAAAAGAGCTCTGATAATTTCGTAATTTTTTTTCTACATTATATTAACGATTTAACTTAAATATTTGTTTATGGAATTGTACGTTTTATGGAATATATTTCAGAATTTTAAAGATAATATTTATCTGAGATTTTATCGAACAGTTCAAATCGCTATTGTATCTGATATCGTTTGTTAATTTTGTATTGTATATTCCTAAACAATGGAGATATTATCTAATCGAATTCAACCCTTTTGATCTTTGATGATACGTTGACAATATAAACATTTTTTAAAAATAATAATGTATGCAAACATCACTTATCTTTATTAAATATAATTGATTTTATATGTGTTTGATCTATAAAGATACTTGATATCGACAGCGCGTGTATGAAAATGCATTTTCACATTTGTATTTTGTACTCATTTTATCGTTTATAATGCAAAATTAGTTATGAAGTTCTAAGAGAAGATATTAAAATATATTTTTGATAAATAACGACATAAATTATTATTACTAACGTGAAGAAAACTCGCGAAACCACGTAGCCAGCCTGTCGGCCAGGAGCGAATCTACGACCAATCACCACTGTTCAGTGGTTTTATCAGCTAGGCCGCTGTTTTCTTTTAACAATTCGAGGAAAATTTTACTTTTTATCGCATAAATGTATTGTATTTGTCACTGTATTAAAACAGGTATAAATAACGAAAATTGTTATCAATTTTCGTTATTTTACATATAATTCACATCAGTTATGAGCAACATTACTGGATACAGATCACAACTAAACACAGTCGGCTTCCAGTTAACCAAATGCATTACAGTCGACCTCTCTATGACACTGTTGATTATTCCGTTTTATATGAATTCCATGTTGTACGAGTTACTTAGATTTTACAAATACGTGTACTGGACTGTGAATGGCTCACCTATTTGTAAAATCTAAGTGACTCGTTCAACATGGAATTCATATAAAACGGAATAATCATCAGTGTTTGGGGGAGTGGACTGTATTTCCTTATGGACTGGCGGGCTTGCCTGCTGAATACCAATATTATTCATAGCCTCCAGTACAATAAGTACTAAAATAAAACATGATACATAGCATGGAAATTAGGTGGTACGCAAGATTTTGGCTAGATTTGGCAGTCATAACTTGCTACAAATGTGAGTTGATTCTCGCATTAATTTTGGAAAACTATCTGATAAATTGGTAATTTGTGTGCTACGTAAGGAATATTTTCCAAAATTTTGAAAACTGTGAACTATTCTGTCAAAGTTCATAATATTCTGTAAAACATTATTTTTAAATAGTAGCAAGAATTGTAATTATGAAACTTCTATCTAACTTTTTGATCATGCTAATACAACGTGAAGTATAACAACAATGTCTACATCAATATCTATTCAATTCATTTTATCTTTTAAAGTGTTTCGATACAACTGATTATCGCGATAATTATATCCAAAATAAATAATATAAAGCCGATTGCCTATCGAAAACAGAAGCAAAGTGATAATGGTCGTATTCAATACAGAAAGTTTTTACGAATGGAAATTAGTTATTGGATTCGCAATATTTCTTTCAATTCTCTATATATGGAAGAAAAAGAGTAGAAATAAACACGGAGACGAAATACCACAACTCTCTAGTTGGGCCTATGTTTGGAATCTGATTTTCTGTCAAGTAAAAGCTCAGAATTTTCGGAAACTTTGCGGAAAATGTAAGTATGAACATTCATTTAAATGTTATAATAAACTTTTTAACATTTATGAATTTGTGTTACAAATAGCGATTAATAAAACGTAACGCTATATTTATTCAACGATTTTTTTAGTTATAATTCAAGTATTGAGTTTTGTATGTATTTTATCCTTGGACGAGAAAGTACTAAAAGATTCTTGGAGTGGCTATCAATATATGCGTAATGTCATCTTGAACCGGTTCAAGTATAATTGCTTTAACACATATTGTTTGCGTGTTTTTAAGGATATCAATTGATTGGTTAAGGCATTTATTTTTAGACCGATCGCCATACTTTTCCTCTGTTATATTTAGCTCCTGTGAATAAAATGAATATCACAATTAAACTCTGTTTAAAAAGATGTCATTCCTAAAGCATGAATAATAAGAGTAACATACGTTTTATTTAACTGTTTTATTGTTATTTTATTTGTTACGAACAATAACAAACAGATATAGAACGGAGTTGTACACTATTGCCCATAATAAATTAAATAAAATAATTATCTAGCATAACTAATGGTAGAGATATATGAGGCTTATCAAATTGTAATAAAGCCGAGTAATGGAGATGACATGGCGATGTCGATTATTTATTTAAAAGGTATAGAATTTGTGAAATATGTTTTCAGAAAAAATAAATAATATAAAATATATAAATATTAGCTCATATTTTTATCCGAAACTCGGTTATCCGAAAGAATTCCAGTCGGCAAATTTAAATTTTCGCTAGTGCTGTGGCGTTGCAATCTTTGGCTATATCTTGGGCTACTCCAATATTTTTTTTGTTGATGTGTGTTTTAGCTGGCAGCACTGGCACTTTTGTGTGGTGTTTTTCTGAGGACTGTGTGGTGCTGAATCGAACGTTTTTGATACTAGATCAACTTCTAAAGTATATATTTTTTTGTTTTTATATTTTTCAACATATTTATTTTGTTTGTAAAAAATAAAAAAATAATTTTTAACAATACAATAGCCACGATTATTATTTTAAAAAGTTTACATTAGGCTTAACATCGACGAAAATTCAACGCAAAGCGACACGCAACAGAGAAAAATTTCAACACGGGATAGGTTAATGTATTTTTTCGTACATATTCGGTTATCCGAAAAATAAGTTATCCGAACAACCTCAGTCCCCAATTTATTCGGATAAACGACGCTCTACTGTATATATGCATGAATAAATAGTTATTTCATGAATCTTCCGAAGTGCCGAGCAAGAAAAATATTAATCATGTTCCTGTCGACTTCTTTCAAGTTTAATAAATATTTCTCTCGAATTAGTCATTGCAAATTGACCTGGTATTACATTACCGGTAATTCGGTAATTATATTCGGAATTACCGGTTTATCGGTACTTTACCGGTAAATTTGTATTAACAAATGATTTAAAACTAAACTGAATTACTGACAGAATTATTGAACAACCATTTATTTTCAAGTTTTTATCAGTTTAAACATACAACATTCTTGAAATAGCAATTATTATGACACAACAGACATTGAAATAATACAAATATAACAGACGGTGCAACGAAATATTAAAATATTACTGAGAAAGTTAAGCAACATTCTGCTAGAGTTCTTTTTTAACATACATAGAGTGTATCCTTTTACAAATCTGGTTCCCTCTATGCGACTTCTTCCTTTTAATTTGTGTTTATTTCTATGCAATCGATTTTACTGCGCCTCGCGTTGTTGGATTTGTCATTAAATATCATAGTGTGTGTGTTGCCAATGTATATGGCACATCTACTTGTCCTACTGAAGGTGACCAACTCGTGACCTGCAGTTTGGACAGTGTGTTGATCAATAAAAGAGAGAATGGTGTTGTGCGTGGTCTAACGTGATAATCTGTTTCGAAACAAAACTGGAATTTATCGTTTAAATCAAATTCTGCCAACTTGTGACGTTGTTTTATGTTTCAAATTTTTACTTATTAATCAATTAGACATACACAGAGTTAATTAAGACGCATGATAGTAACACGTTCATCGGTTTTTGTCATTAAAGCAACAAATAAGTAAAAAAAAAAACAAAGTTGCCAGCTCAGTTTTGCATTGTCATAGAGCAAGTGATAATCACCTTCAGCATGTTTAACACGTAACAATGTAACTTCAATCGAAACCGACAATGCTGGAGTCGTATGGCACGTGTCATAGAAATCGGCGTGTATAGGGAAATTTCGAAATTATGCCATTTTGGCACGAGTTGCAAATAACCTAATATGCCTAATTCATCAAGATCAGTGTTTCTCAACCTCTAACGAATCGTCGCTCCCTTCAACATAGTATTGCCCCCTTCAATAAAACTGTTACGTAGTATCGCCCCTTCACTTCAAAATTCCGATGCCGAGGGCCAAGGCTAACACCAAATTCGTACTACATCGAATAGACTATTAACTAATATAATGTTATTTGTTTAATTATTGTATGATGTAATCAAAAAATATCTAATTATTCTTAATATAATGTTTTACTATATTGCCCAGAAAATTGTTTTTCGCCTCCCCAAAATATAAATCGTTACAAATCGCCCTTTCAACATGGAAAAACGCCCACATGGGGGCGATATCACTCCCGTTGAGAAACACTAATCTAGATGATTCATCATTTCTGAAACTTTGTCAAATTTGCATAAAAAATTTCAGTAGGCTTATATTTAATGGAAAGAAATACGTGGCATTAGAAGATCTCCAAAGTAAGAATTCATTGAACACTGAGGTTATGAAAGTAATTTACATAGTATTGGGTAGCGAATTTAAGGTAGTCTAGTTATGTTATCTCGCTTCAAACGAAATACAATTGTAAAGCCGAGACTCCACTACCGTAAAAACGGCGTAAAAACCCCTCGCTGTAAAAGCTTTTAATCACGTGACCCTGATATTTTACGCTTGAGCAGGTCGTAAAACCAGCGTAAAAGCGAGTTGAGCAGTGTTCAACTTTGGACGCGAATACGGCCGTAAAACGGTACCATCCACCAAACAGAAGTCAGTTAACTCTAGGTCATTGTGAGACGGTGCGAAAATGGCGAAAAAAAAGCTTTTGTGTACGTTCCCTCGTGGATACTCTAAAATAGATCCGGAAAGATTTATCGAAAACATCCGAAAGTATTCGTGTATCTACGACAAGAAGTATCCCGATTATAATAATGGATGCCTAAATCACGCGATACGGACGGCCACAGGAAAATCCTTCAATTTAGAAGAGTATATAATGAAAAAAGCTAAGCTTAATAAGTGCTGTATATTATCTTAATAAGTGCTGTTCCAGAATAGAAAAAAAGAAAAATCGAATTAGGGTAATTTTTTACAAGTTTTGGTACATTCAGTACATTTCAAAATTTACTTTTTCTGACAATGCTAACAAGGAGAACCAAACTATGTTTTGTGGTTCAGCATGTACAATGTATTTATTGTTTTTAAGCATAAATCAAATATAATAAAGCAAAATAATTTTATTAAACGCTTAGCAAAGTTAGTATTTTCTTCTTTTTTTAACAGATATGAATCTATTAGTAAACAAAAAAAATGCTCAGGATATGAAAGTAAAAAAACTACCATCTATATCCGTTTTAACAATTCTGTGGAATATGTTATTTTATCAACGAGACAACAGACTGCACTACAAATCGTCCTGGGTCATAGGTAAGTTATTATTTCATTTTATTGAAAAATTTGATTATTTATAAATATACAAATTATTTTATCGTCTTTCTGAAGACATTCTAAATGGAATAGTTGGACTCCCTACACTATTTCCAAAAGAGAAAGTCCTATACGTCAACGTATTTGGATATAAATTAATTTGTTTCATACATCCGGAATCTGCAAAAGTAATAAAACATATACCAGTAACTACTGTAATACAGTCGAACCCCTATAACACTGTAGATTTTTCCGTTTTATATGAATTCCATGTTGTACGAATCACTTAGATTTTACAAATACGTGAGCCGTTCACAGCCCAGCACACGTATTTGTAAAATCCAAGTGACTCGTACAACATGGAATTCATATAAAACGGAAAAATCAACAGTGTTATAGGGGGGTCGACTGGTATGTTTATTATAAATAAAAATTTGCTTTTTGTAGGAAGTGCTAAGCAGCAACAGTTTTATCACTAAGGATTCTTTATACGATTTCTTTATTCCATTGTTAGGAAAAAATAGTCTTTTATACAGGTAATGCATTATTTTATATTTAGTTAAATGTCGTTGTTTACAATTTTGAATATTTAATTATATGAAGTCCTGACGATATCTGGAGAAAGAGGAGAAGATATTACGCTCCATATTTTCATCTTCGGTATATCAAAGATTATCAAAATGTGTTTATGAATCATTCAAACTTGTTTGTCGAGAAATTGAAAAAACTGCAGGAAAATGAAATTTTTGATATCGTAAAATGGACGAAATATTGCTCTCTGGACATAGTTACAGGTATTAATAATCTTTATTTTAAAATATTTATTCAAACCTTATAAAAATACCTATTTATTTTTACGTAGACTTAATATTAGGAATTTCTCCAAACTCTCAGTCTGAAAATAATGAAGAATACATCGCAGCAATAACCAGGTACAGAAAATTTACTACAAAGTAAATTCTATCAATTTTCTCATTAATATTTACAAAATTATACAGTAGACCCCTATAACGCGGGTTCCTATAATGCGGATTCCTATAACGCGGCGAAAAATTGCGACGGTATTCGTATAAAGACGCTAAAAGGGACGCGTAAAACGCGGTAAAACGTCATCGCCGACTCGTGTCGCGACAGGATTGGTCGAATCTGGACCAATAGCAGACGAGCAGCTGAATTACTTACATGCTATGGAGCGTTCAGNGATTATTCCGTTTTATATGAATTCCATGTTGTACGAATCACTTAGATTTTACAAATACGTGAGCCGTTCACAGCCCAGCACACGTATTTGTAAAATCCAAGTGACTCGTACAACATGGAATTCATATAAAACGGAAAAATCAACAGTGTTATAGGGGGGTCGACTGTATACTTTCCGCCGTCCAGCGCCACGCTACGGAGAATTTAGGCGAGTAAGTTGAGTTTACTATTGTCTGTACAGAATGTAAATTTGTTATCGTAAGTCTAATACAGCACTGTAATTTTATACATTTCTCGTGAAAGAAACCATTTCTTATTCAACGGCCATAAAAATTATTTATATTAATGAAGTCTCCAAAGGTCAAGTTATTTTTCTGCGAAAAATTCGTTATCAGAAATCGCGGCCGCCGTTTCGTGCGCCGCTCCGCGACGAAAACAAGCTTAAGCAATGGCGACGTCGAACGGTACACACTCGGTAAGTAATCCTATAGTTTTTTGTTTATAGCAAAGTTTATATGGATTATTCCCAAAAAATTATACGGAATTTGGGAATATTGAGTCAAATTAGTCTAGAATCGATTAATTTTATGGAAGGAACCCTTTCAAACAGCCGTAGTCTGTAAACTGCACACATGTCGGGCTGTGATTGGGTCATGTATTTAAGGATTCCTACAACGCGAAATTCTTATAAAGCGGAACGTATCTACCGCGTTATGGGGGGTCTACTGTATGTAATATATGATGCATAGAAAAATTTCATAGGCAGTGTAAAATATACATACAACATTTTTTTAATAAGGAAATTTTATTTTGAAACTCATCAGTGGACAAATAAACATTCTCAAATCCTGTTTCTTTTATGCTGGGTGATTTTTTCTTAGCATGCATCTACGTTCATACCAGTATTCTGATTTATCACATTTTCATATTTTACGATACAAAAATGTTTTGTTATTTTTCTCTAAATACGACTTTTAACTTTATACAATACTAGCTGTTTCCCGCGACTTCACTCGCAGAGGTTTTGCAAGCAAACCCCATTTATATTCAGTATTTCAATAACTATAGTAATTGTTATATAATACTTACCTACTCAATGAAGACTAAACGCAGTTAAAAACAAAAAATCGTATTTAAAATAGTACAGTAGGAGCCGTTTTTCCGGTTAAGACTTAATGCTCTCCCTTCACCCCGCGGGGGAATTTCGAAAAATCCCTTCTTAGTGTGCGTTTACATGACGTACCCTAACTGTGTACCAAATTTCATTTCTATAGGTACAGCGGTTTGCTGTGGGCAATGATGAATCAGTGACTAAGTCAGTCAGTCAGTGACTCAGTCAGTCAGTGACTCAGTGACAAGTAACTTTATATATTTTTACATTATTTCTATCTATTTTACAATGATATTGGTTACAGTGTAGGGACCACGGTGATTTGTGAATTTTTAGCCGAATCGCAGCTTCGTGTTCTTTTAGCCGTGTCTGCATCTTTCTGTTTCTCCTATGTAGAGTTTTGGTTGTGGACAAGTACATGATATTTTATAGACGATACCTGCAACATCGAGTTGGTGTTTTAACACTTTTTGGTCTTCGTTATTTATAACATTAATTGCATTCATTAACTTGTTTTTTTATTTCGCCACTATACATATAGAAAATTTCTTGAAAATCGATTTATATCATCAAATAAATTATTTACGTAAGGGAACTTAACATATGAAGTATTCATTATTCGTTTTTTAACATTAAAGCTATAATTTATAAAGGATTTATACCACTTACATAATATGTTCTTTGGGTAATCATTTAATAAGTATTATATAAAGAGTTGTCTTTTTCTTTTTCTATATCTTTTTGAACCGATGTTCTATTTAATATTTTCCTTAGTTTCATCATAAATACGTTATTATTCGTGTCTGTGGGACAATATGATTTATAATTACCATTTTGTTTTGTATTACAGTGGCATCCAAAAAGTTCATTTCTTTCAAAAGTTTTTGTTCTTCCTCACTTGTAAACTTTAAATTTTTATCTAATTTATTTGCATGGTTTTCAATATCTTGGGGTGTAATTATTTGTGAGTCATATATAAACAATATATCGTCTTTGATTGTCCATATCTACTATCTACGATCGCTAGATAATAGATAGGGGCAATCAATCAATCAATCGATCAATCTTGATTGATTGTCCCTAGATAGATTATCACTAGATAGTATTTTAAAATTAAAATACTATCTAGCGATAATTTTAAAGTATTTTGATAATAAATATATTTTATATGTAGCCGTATTTTATAATTTATATAGAACAAAGTGTAAAGACTACAACAGAATATCAAACGGCTCTAGGAAAAGTTTTGTTACTTCCATACAATATTTATCGATATAACTAACCCCACAGATTGGAATGTTGGGTGTTGTCTCGTTTGAATAAACAAAAGAACCTCCAAATTTTTTCGAAAAGGTAAATAACGCTTGTCTAGTGGAGACTGTTATTTGCTGGCATTCGCAGGACTTTGGACAAAAACTGTTGTATATTGGTTTACCCATTTTATTAGAAGCATTCTTCAACCATTAATGATGTTTTTTTCTCATCGTCTTTTGAATTCATCTTGTGCATTTTTCTGATGCATGCCAATAATACCACCAGACCCCAGACTAAAATTTTTTCATCATTGCAAACAGCTTTTTGGCCATTCCTTAATCCAACTCATATTTTCTTGATATTTTGATTGACACAATTGAAATAAGACTTGTATATTTAATAACAAAGTATGAAACATGATATTTGCTTTTCCTCTCGATATGCACAGTATCACAGGATATATTGTATTTATATTTAAGTATTACATCTCTACATATGGTCGATCTTAGGACTACATTCTGTCTATTATTGAATTAGAGAATTTTATTCTATTACTATATATTTATAAAGATTTATAGATTTTGAATTCGGAAAAAGATTAAATATTCAATACGAAATACAAAATATATTTATATTGAAATTTTCTGAAATTAAACTCTCATATAATATAATTTAAATTAAATTTCAGAGTAACAAAATATTTTTCTCAATGGCTAACGAATCCATTGTATTGGTTTCCCCCAACTTGTGCCATGACTAAAAGGGGGAAAAAATTGAAAAGAAACGTTGAAATCATTCACCAGTTAGATGAAAAGGTAAATCTAATTAGATGAAAGATAAACGAGTATTATTTGGATAGAACAGATTTATGTTTTAATTTCATGCGTAGGAGTTCAAGAGAATGAAAGAAAATTTCGTGAAAAGACACATCGGTGATGATGAACACAATGCAAAAAAACCAAACATGAAAATCGAACTTCTGATAGATGTACTGTTAGATCTTCATGTCAACCAAAATTTAATTTCGGAAGAAGATGCTATCAGAGAGATGAATGGCCTTAAATTTGCTGTATGTATAATTGGTAAAAGGTGTTTAACGACAATAGTTTTATAATCATTTTTGCAAACTTATTTAAAATTATATTTTCGCTATTTCAGCATATTTAGGAACATTTCGAAAAATTAAAAATTTATAAGTACTGCTGATTTTTGATCATTCTATGTATATTCTTATATTTTATTATAGCGTTGGTGACGTTTTCAATTTTACTTGTTAAATTATTTGTTTTGGAGATTTTAATATTTAGCTGTTTTTTAAAAAACGCTGCAGCTTTCTCAGCTTTTCCAATAAATTTGGCGTTGTAAAAAACCCATTCATTAATCAATCAGATTAATAATAATAATTTGATACTATAGTAAACGAACAAATCAAAAATAACTGATCGAGTACATACCAGTCGACCCCCCTATAACACTGTTGATTATTCCGTTTTATATGAATTCCATGTTGCACGAGTCACTTAGATTTTACAAATATGTGAGCCGTTTACAGCCCGGCACACGTATTTGTAAAATCTAAGTGACTCGTAAAACATGGAATTCATATAAAACGGAATAATCAACAGTGCTATAGGGGGTCGACTGTATTATGTAAATCAACTAGAAGGTAGACGAGGCTGTGTAGTCATTTGCCTGAGTTATGATACACCCTTAATCAAGTACGAAGAAGTAACCTTAGAAGCCGTCTATAAATTATGCAAGGGCGATTTCGGCCATTGTAGACCCCCATCCATCCCTGTGTAAGAAACCGTAATATTTTCTTTGTTCCTCCTCCCCTTCTCTATCTTACGTAATATTTAAGCATGATTTTATAGAAAGATTTTAACACAAATAAATTTTTTTATGAAAGCCTGAAAACCTTAGGTCCAAAATATATAATTATTAATTAGTTAATATGCACTATTATTTATAAAACACTTAGAGAATAGAGAGAAACCATGTTCCGTTGCTATATTGATTACATCGTGGCTAAGGCAAAAAAATGTTGCTAAAATGTGCTAGTTGAACCTGGTAACTAAATCATAAAGCTTGTAAAACTCTATATAATGGGGCAATACAATCAATGCTACTTTACGCCGCCTCTAGCTGGGGTCATGTAATTAATAAAAATTGAGTAGCGAGTAAATTACTCTCTCTTCAAAGACATTTTGCCATCAGAATTTTGAAGTGCTGCATAACTGTTTCTAATAATGCCTCTCTGATACTAGCAGAGCTCTTTCCTTCGCCACTATGTATTGAAGAAAATGTTCTACACTACTACATTAGCACTACAAACATCAAGGCTCAACAACAGTCTCTGCTCTTATCTACGGCTGTTTATATGCTACCACATTGCAATTACCCTATCTCTGATTATCATCCTGTAAACAAGGTTATCCCCAGGGTACATTTGGTGTCATCTGCTTCCTTCATGGATAACCATGCAAACATTAATATCTACAGAGATGTGTCCAAAAGTCCCCTTCACGTCGGCTCAAGTATCTGTATCTTCCTCCAAACTGACATATTTTGCCCAAAATATGTTAGAAAGTACAAATACCCCCACGTATCAAGCTGAAGAAAATGCTGTCTACCAAGCTGTTCAATGGGACACTTAAATACCAAACAAACATCTGTCTATCAACATTTACATTTTCTCAGTCTGTCCTAAAAGCTCTATTAAATCCCAATTCAAATAGCAATAAAATCACATATATCCAGCACAATAAAAATCTTGTAAATAAGATAACTTTTATATTTGTTCCTGGCCATACTGGAATACTAGGAAATGAAAAAACCGACTTTAGGGCTAAGTCAGCTGCAAAGGACACTGACTGGACTACACTCACATCCCTCTCTCACGTAGCAGCCTTAAAAATTATATTTATGACAACGCCATACAAAAGTGGAATCATCAATGGTGGAGCAGTAAAACTGGTAGAATAACAAACCTTTATTTTTTTACTGTTGAATGCATGCTCTCATCACCACTTAGAGATTTAATGTTTGCTACTGCTCAACTACTTACTGAGCATGATAATTTTAGAAGCTACCTGGTGATGTATAACCGGACAGAAACTGCCTTTTGCTTTTGCTCTACAGAAAACCTAGACACCGTCGACCATATATGATCTATCACTGTCCAATTTATGATCAACATACACTTATTCTGAAATTAGAAATCTTTACGCTTGGTTTCGGGTGGCTATGTGCACTCGATAAAGTTGTTCAGAAGCCACTGCTTGATGCTTTTTATAATCATGTTAAAAAAGTATGGAAGAAAAGGCTATAATTTCTAATTTCTAGTATTACATTTTAGTTTTCTTTGAAAGCTGAATACTATTTTTAGTGAGAGAGAAATGTCTGGTATGATGGTTTCAACCAATTAATATTATTTTGACGCTTGTTGAATTAACGTTTTCCCATATAAAAGTACTATTATATTTTTTAATTGTTACTGATTTTCTTAATATCGTCTAAGATTCTTTTGATCAGAATTTTCCGCATAGAACCAACATCGTAAAATATGGCTTCATGAAATACAGTCGATCCCACTATAACACTGTTGATTATTCCGTTTTATATGAATTCCATGTTATACGAGTCACTTAGATTTTGCAAATACGTGAGCCGTTCACAGCCCGGCACATGTATTTGTAAAATCTAAGTGACTCGTACAACATGGAATTCATATAAAACGGAATAATCAACAGTATTATTGTCGGGTCAACTCTATATTTAAATAATTTTCATTTCTAAGATTAAAATTGTCGTTTTTCGTATATGTCTGTTTTTGCATTTTTGGTTTTAAAAGGGTTTTTTTTCATACAATTCGTTGTTTCGCCATATTCATACTCGAAGCATCCATGTGATAAGAGATGAGGTCCAAAAATAACATCTAATGTCCTATTCAAGAGGAAATTTTAACTTTTTACTTCAACTTATTTTAATATCAGGCATTACATACATCCTCCCATGCTGCCTCCTGGACTCTATATTTCCTGGGAAGATTTCACGAAATACAAGACAAAGTGTATATGGAATTACAGAGCATTTTTCAAGACGACATAAATAGAAATATTACAATTAATGACTTGACAAAAATGACTTATTTAGAATGCGTAATAAAGGTAACTTTTCAATCTTCTTAATTAATTAAATACATAAGATAATTAATTTGATACATTTCTACACTAAACTTTTCAGGAGTCGATTAGAATCTATCCTCCTGTACCTGTCATTTCAAGAAAAAATCCGTATGAAATAAAAATTGGTTAGCCGTATCATTCAGAATACGTTTCTTCTATTAATAACTTTTTATTTTAATCATTACTTTGTTATTATATTAAAACAGATGATTATGTTTTACCACCAAAATCTACTTTCGTAATTTGCATGTATGCCATTCACCACAATCCTTCTGTTTATGAAAATCCAGAAGTGTTCGATCCAGATCGTTTCCTGCCTGAAAACTTTAAACAACTCCATCCTTATGCTTTTCTGCCATTTTCTGCTGGTCCCCGAAATTGTCTAGGTAAGTGGTTTGTTAATAAATCAAAAACATAATTATTTAATAAAATGGCTTATTTACAGGAGGTAAAGTAGCGATGGTTGCAATGAAAACAGTTTTAGCAAATGTTCTTCGAAATTTTAAAGTTTACTCTGTGGATCCTCAAGACAAAATCATTAATTCTTTTGAATTATTTTTGTGTCCACTGTCAGGAATAAGAATGCGGATAGAAAAGAGATAAACTACTCTTATATTGTCTTATCTTAATAAACGTTTTTTTTTTTTTTTACAAATTTACATAAATACAGTAAGGAATAAATTTAAAATGAAGTGAATCCAATATAAGCAGAGGTTTATTTCTAAAATATATTTATAGTATTTTCATCATTATTCTTATAAACTAATGACTACTTATAAAAACAATTTCGGTTCCGGCCAAAAAAGTTTATTTTGGTATAATTTTGTTGGTTGCACCAAGCCAATTAGTTTCACACAAACTAACCCTACAATAAAAATTATAATGCCTAAATTGTATACAGTAGTGGTAGAGATAAATTTTTAAAATTGGTTACTTTGTATGATAAACTCTTACGTAAGATAATCCTTCTTGTTATATAAAAGTATTTCATTTATATAACAAAAAATGTTGGTTATATTGTACTATGTTGGTTATATTGTACTAAGGTAAGTTAATGTTCGTTATATTGTACTAATTGTACAATATAACGAACATTAACTTTCCTTAAGCCCCAAGCACGAGAAATCTCGGCCACGTTACATAGCGTTACATAAAACTAGAGCGTTTGGACCCCCCTAAAAATTTTTGTTTTTTGGATTTTTGGAATGTTTTTTTAATTCTCCAAATTTTTCAATTTTTTTTTTTCCCCGCGCGAAAAAATTTTATCGCGATTTTAATTTACCTTAATGACGCACGCTTCACGCTTAATTGCTTTTTACTCGTTTTTTAATGGGAGTTTAATTGATATCAAATTTCATTCATTGTTCTAAAGTTGTAGTGCACGGATTTTCCTTCGGTAAAGCTATTTAAAGCTAGATTCTGATGTCAAAAACGACCTCCGATAGTATTTCAATTTTATTAATTAATAGATTTTATTATATATACGTTTAATTAGGTCGAGGGGTCGGAAATCGTAATAAAAATTTTAATTTTTTAAAAACATTTAAAAATATACCGCCAGCTAGTATTCACCCTACTATAAACCCATCGCCTCCCGAGCCTTCTATGAGAATGTCCCGGGAAATCCAACTCCAGCTGTGTTCAAGGTCATCCAGCTGTGTAAACAATGACTCATCAGTGTCAGATTTCACAAAAAGGCCAGACAAAGGAAAATAAAATTTGAAGTGTTTTCTTCAAAATTAATGCATTTCTTTCGTTTTTTACAGTTTTAAGTATTTTTTATGTTTAATTACATTAATATCAAAAATTGGTCAAGTCCCAAAGAGTTAAAACGAAAAACCATATAAACATTTATGCCATATCATTATAGTATTGTCACGTTTATCGTGATACTCAGATGGTAGAAAATAGCGCAAATGTAATGGTCAAGTAAACAATAATTGAAAATGTATCTAAGTCTTTTTAGGCATCGTAACATTTTCTAATTTAAACTATAAGGAAGTGTACCATTTATATTGAACAGAAAGCGTACTCGGCAAATTAATATTCAAAAAAAAAAAATCAATACCTTATCCGTTGCCGAGGGAGTTTATTTAAATAACGAACGTTTTCGATCTACTTCGTAGATCATCTTCAAGTTCAAAGAAACGAATATGGAATAACCACAAAGAATAAAACATTAAATTTAAAATTCAAAAATATCAACGACTGAGTAATTAAGTAAAATAATTAAAGTGTAAAAATACCAATTGTAAAAATAAATAACATAGAACAATAAATAAGTAATAGTACAAGTCGTTAACAGTTAACAAAAATTATAAATGCTCTCATAACGTGAATTGCGAATCAAGTCGTCATTCATAAGCCATTTGTAAGTCTTTTAATAGCAAACTTCCATGCTGAGGGTAGGCCCTCTGCATCTCTAGCGTTTATACATCTATCATCAAGTTTGCTTCTGTATATTTCCATTTTTTCGGCTGTCTTCGCTAAAGTTGGAGAGTGTATTTGCTTAATGATTTCAGCTTTTTTCCATCCAACTACGGAACCTTGGGCTTGAGCCATCTGGGCCAGCACATTTGCGTTTGATTTTTTCCTAACATCATATTAATGTTCTCTGACCCTTACCCCTAATTTCCTCATTGTAACTCCTATGTACTCCTTTTTTAATCCTAATTGTTGGTTCTCGTACGGGATCTTGTAAACTCCTGCTTTATCTTCTTTCTTAATATCCCCTTTATCGTTTCTTAGATTAAGGAGTACATTTAATGTAATTTAATATAATGTCTACTATTGGTCTACTATTTATATTTGAATAGTGAATATTTTGTTAAAGCAAGACGACCTGTGAGCATTAATTGTATGTTAAATATTTTATGCAATTTTTAACACATTAAAGTATATATGGTCATTCGTATTTCCTGTTACAAATTTGTAAGACATATTTCTTAGAAAAAAGTCAAATAAAAATATTCAGTCCAGTGGTGTGCCGTGACATTTGATCATATGGAAGCTGTATTTCTGTAAAAAGCCCACTTCCAGTGGCATCAGTTAATTCTCTAATTGTATTTTTAATAGATTATTTATTAGACGTAATTAATAAATAAACAAGTTCAATATAATTTACCTCTGTTATAAGATTCAATAGATTCCCTATGCCCTCTAAATGCCAATTCTTGCTTTAATAAAAACATATAACATCTATTAATTTAGATAAAATACAGTCGACCCCCTTATAATACAGGTTCCTATAGTTCGGATTCCTATATGACGGCGAAAATATTGCGACGGTATCCTTACATACATGGCAAAATACTCCTGTAATTCGGTAAAACGTCATCGGGCAGCCGAACTACTTTCCGCCGTCCAGCGCCACGCTACAGAGAGTTTAGACAAGTAATTTGAGTTTACTATCGTCTGTACAGTGTGTAAATCAGGTACCGTAAGTCTAATACAGCACTAATTTTATACATTTCTTGTGAAATAAACATTTCTTATTCAACGGCCATAAAAATTATTTATATTAATGATGTCTTCAAAGTTCAACAAATTTTTCGCAGAAAAATAACTTATCAGAAATCGCGGCCGCCGTTTGGTGCGCCGCTCCGCGACGAAAACAAGCTTAAGCAATGGCGACGTCGAACGGTGCACACTCAGTAAGTAATTCTACAAATTTTTGTTTATAACAGTGTTTCTCCACGGGGGCGATATCGCCCCCCATGTGGGCGATTTTCCATGTTGGGGGGGCGATTAGTGACAATTTATATTTTGGGAGGGCGAAAAACAATTTTCTGGGCGATATAGTAAAACATTATATTAAGAATAATTAGATATTTTTTTCGTTATATCGTACAATAATTAATTAGGCGCGCGGGAGACTATTGTCCCACAGGCATATTAAAACGCGTGTATTTTTTAATGTTTTTGGTGCTGAAAAATGATGCCCTCAGTACCTTCCTTCGATGGTGTGAAGATCGCACCGAAAAAAATAAAACATTGCACGAAAAAAAATTTTACATAGAGCTACAAAGGAAATCATTTGGGCACAATTGTACCCTGCGCGCCTAACAGAGTAAGTCGTATAAGCGCGACTAACCGAGGTGGGTCGATCTGACTTACAGTTTTCAGAAAACGCTTATTGGTTGACATCGAGTCAATCATGATAGAAATGACCAATTACAGCATAAAAGGCGTAAGAACAGGATTTTTAAAGCCAATAAACGGCAGAAAAGTTTCCCATAGACTTAGCATTGAAAGTTTGAAAGGTGGTGTTTTTTGGGGATATTTACTGCTAAATGGTGTTGAAAACATGTTTATTTGTCTAAATACTGTCAAGCGACTTATCGTTAGCAAATTAGAAGTGAAAAAAACGATTAAAACACGCGATTTTTAGCGATTGTTTACATACTTCGATGTGGTAGCCTTCGGGGGAGTAGCATTTCGCGAGAATTTTTCCAGCAGTTGTTTTTATAGGTGGATCTAATAACAGACATATAAATTAACCAATTACAGTGTAAAAGAAGTTTACTATCTATGTTATCTGCCAATAATCTACATTTTTACCTCTACTTGCTGTATGATTTTAGATGGTGTATTTTTGGAAATACTGAGATATTTTTGGCCCGGGGTTTGGTACAAAGAATTTAATTGTTGTTACAGTTAAAAAAACACATACAGGAAGACGATTGAGAGCTTAGATAGCATCAGACTTGTTTACAGTTTGTAAAATACACTTTTGAAGTTGACAATTTTTTTTTTGAAAAATTTCTAAAAACAGGAGACTTTCTGTTTTACGTTACGAATAAATAAAAACGATATATTTAAAGTAGTTTACTTCACTAATACATCAAAAACACATGCCCACATACATCCAAAATAAAAAAATCGAGAAAAAAACTATTAGTTTTGAAAAATTGAATTTTGAAACAGGGATACTATAGTCCCCCGCGCGCTTCACTTCGCGAGAGTAACACAGTGCGCGTAACCACGAGTTAAACAAATAACATTACACTGGTCACTAGTCTATTCAATGCAGTACAAATATGGCATTAGCCTTGGCCCTCAGCTTCGGAATTTTGAAGTGAAGGGGCGATACTACATAACGGTTTTATTGAAGAGGGCGATACTACGTTGACGGGGGCGATGGTTCGTTACAGGTTGAGAAACATTGGTTTATAGCATAGTTTATACAGATTATTCCCAAAAAAATATACGTATTTTGGAAATGTTGAGTCGAATTAGTGTAGGAATCGATTAATTTTATGAAAGAAAACCTTTCAAGCAGCCATGGTACGTAAACTTCACACGTGTCGGGCTGTGATTGGCAAGATCTCCTAAAACATTAATTTCATAAAAACGAAACGTATCTACCATGTTATAGGGGGGTCGACTGTATATCTATTAGACGTAATTACCACGTTATATTTTTCAATATTTATTTTATATTATTTACTAATGATAAATTCTATTCCGGTTTGATTTCCAAGTTGCTTCAAATATGAAAAAATCGACGATTTTTCGTGTCTTTTGCCAGCTAAATTGTCAAAGCCATTCTCATTCCACACACTAATTTCATTTGAAAATAGCAGGCGAACCAACAAAACGATTTTTTGCATTTTTATGCATTTACAGAGCCATTTTATCGTGAAAATGTCGAACGAATATTTTTATTGAAGCGTTTATATTTAATTAACTTAGGCATTGGCCTTTCTCTTTTAATAACGCTTTCATTTTCATCATATGATTTCGATCCAAAACTTTTTAAAAATAAATTGTCAATATTGCAATAACATTCCGAATCGCTAGCCAGGATATAAGGAATAAAATTAAAAATAAAATTATAAAAACTTACTTGGTGAAATAAAATGTATGGTGGATATACTTAACTGGTACATAATATTCTTCAATTGTATTAATATACTTTTAAAAAAAATTATAATTAAATATGGCTTTGTAAAAAAATGTGAGATCCGAATAGCCTCCGGGTCTAAATTAATAATTTAAAAATAATGTTAAATTTTTGTCATAAAATATTCTTTTGTTTTGGGTGAGAAAAGTAACGTTTTCTAGCGTTGGAAAACAGCTAGGAGAGTCACTTCCTTCCACTGAAGTTAGAACATCCTCTGTTTTCCATTATCTGCTAAAAATCTCGCTTCGATGGAAACTGTTTACCCCTCAATTCATCCCCGTCCCATCCGTCCACGTGCAAAATCTGAATACGATGATTGGTCACAAATGGAAGATATAGGCGAAGTTCAGCCCAATTCGGGGAGTTCATCGGCAGACCTGGAAAAGTCAGGACTCCACCCATTCGCTCTCTAAGGCCCTCGCCCTTAGGAGTTCGTCAGGAGATCTCATAGTAGAAAGAAGTCTCCCATATTGGCTCCACACTGCCTTTAGGAGTTCGTCGTCAGATCCGAGAGTAACAAGACGCCACACAAGTGTTCTCTAAGGCCAACGCCTTTAAGAGTTCGTCCGTAGATCGGAGAGTGAAAAGGACTCCATACATATGCCAACAGACCAACGCCTCGTCATTCCCTAACAAGTTACTCCTAAGTTATCAATGAAGTATCTTCACGAATAAGAAGACGACACTGCCAAGTAAACAGGTCGTATGTTTAAAACATAAATTGTGAGCTCTCTCTCTCGTAAATGTATGGTTTAAGAATACATTTCTCTCTCGACTCTGTTATAGACTAAGAATAGATTTCCTCCTATCGCGATTGATTTGATTATTCGTTCTTTGATTGACCGTTTTGAATTAATCGATTATTTCTTATTCTGTATTAATATTGTTTATTTGTTTATTAAATTCTATATACTTTGTTAAGAAATGTCTCTGTATTATTATTTCCTGAATCAGATCTACGGTATAAATTTCACGCGTGTTTATCCGCGTTACGCAAAGTAGATAAACTGGTGTCAGGAACCTGACTATTTGGATAGAGACTACACAGTCTTTAATCCCCACAAAGCTGAATATTACAGCCCTCCTATGTAAACTTTTAAGATCAGATCTAGTGATCCGAAACTTTAGAGAACTAGTCCTACCGACTAGATTGTCTATTAAGTGATACAGGAGTAACAAACTACCCTGTACCTCAGGCTGAATCTTACAGAAACGTACATAAAAATAACAAAATATTTTTACTCTTCAAATCTTAACCACTTAGTCAAATAGCTCCCTACGAGTGGAATCAGAGACGATCATAGTAGGTGTGCGGCGCGTGCACGCGTGCCAAATCCCGAGGGTGCCGATATCGGTTAATGTCAAATGCCTGTTTTGTCGCATCACTAGTATATCTCAAGGACGCGACAGGGTTGTTGTAAATTTTAAACGTTTTTCATCATAACTGTAAAAATCTAAATACGTTAAACTTAATAGATTGTCCGTCATTTGTTTTCTAACTAATTCGTTTTAAGACCAGGTGTTGTCTACGAAATTTCCAAATTTTACAACTTTTCTGTCACTCTCGTTAACTGGAAAAATTTCTGTCTTTATTACATCTAATATTACGAAGAAATCAGTTCCACTGTACTAGGCTAGAGATTGGGTCGGTTAAGATTTTAAGTAATATTCCGGCTCTTTCAGTAGGGTTTTATATATGTCCCTAATTCCCTAATTGCTTAATTATTTAACTACTTTTTAAGTAGAAATAAGTCGAAACCTGTTACTTTGTACTCGAATATTTGTAGTCTCGGGAAAAAATGGAAAGACAAACTTTTATGAAAAATGGATGCATAAATCGTAAATTTAAAGAAAAGAAATTCTAGAGCTTTTCCTCAGTGGAGTAGCGTGGGTGTCAGCCGCTCGGGGCGTAAAAAAATTTCGCTGCCCCCTTAAAAGACAAAAATTCAGTTTCGTCACAGAGTAAGTGATGAAAAATTCCGTGCTCATTTCAATGTCTGAATCCTAGGTGCGACAAAAATATGAAATGAAATAGTTCAAATTTTTACAAGATATTATTATTATTTATTGTGAAATTTTGCTGCCTCCTAAAAGTGCCGCCCGGGGCAGGCCGCCCCTAAAGTCCCCACTACGCTAATTCACTGCTTTTTCTGTACCTCATGCATCTCTCTTTCATTAAGTTTAGTTTAGAAATTTGTAATAAGATACATAATGCGGTTATAATAAAATATTGTGCGATTATTTTCATATAATTAAAATTAATATGTATTTATTTTTTAGAAAATACAAAGGAAGCGGCGCATCAACCGCTTCCAATGACGGCACGCTACTGATTCAGTCACATTTATCGAATAAAGCTTTCTTTGTGTCATTTTTCGGTTTGAGAATAAATGTAGAAAAATTAATGTTTAAATGTTCTATTTAAGTTAAAATATTTAAAGAAAAGCATTAAGTAGATTCGTATTAAACTTTTGTCTTTTACAAACATTGCAAATTACAAAAGATTAATTAATATTTTTATTGAGAAACCAATATGCTAATAACATGGTTCTAAATCATATAATTACTACTGATATCTTACAAGCAATAGAAAATTGTACACAAGAGACACCTGACTTCAAGCGTGATTGTAAGATTAAGCTTGCTGACAAATAATTCTAAATTATTCACTAAGCTTTTTCGGTAGGTTTATTATGAAGTAAAATGAGTCTTATAGCATAATCTAACAGGTGATAAATGGAAAAAGAACAGACAATCACTGGAACTAAGAAGATGCCCAAACATAAATAATCATTTATTTGTTTTGTTTTTAAACTGTTTATAAAAAACCTTAAACTTCTTTAATGTATAAATGTTTAAGCATATTAACTTGAAATTGATTTTTTAAAAATACAAAATTAGGACTAGATAAACTTTTGAATTACTGTATTATGTTAAGAATTGTACAGGTCCACAATTCTTATTTTTTACTCTTATATTGGTGAACTAAACTGAAAAATAGTAATGTGTTGCATTATTCTATGAATATACTGTACTTTAAGATAATTTCACATGCCAAAATGTTATTAGTAATATTTCAAAAGAACATTGAAATCTTACTTTTTTGGGCATTTCTCAATTTGTGTGACGTATGAGTTTTGAATTTTTTGCAATAAATTCTTCAATTGTATTAACATGTATTGCCAGATTTCATTTAAGGTAAATTAATTCTTTAAATTTTGTTTAAAATTTCTTATAATTTTTTAAAGGGGCGTATAATTTTTTTAATAATATCTGAAAACAGACTTTAACAAGTTGTCAGCAACTGCAGAACATTTCTAATTATATTTTATTGCCCAATACCGTAATACAAATAATTTGAACCATCAGAAAAGAAGCAGCTCTGAAACATTTTCAATGCAATATACTTATCGAAAATACGTCACAACAGCTTCCACAGTTATGAAATACAGATCAATGTGTATATAATACATGACATCACAATAAAGTTGTTTCTTCTTAAGTAACAGAACAATATAAAAACATTACCAATTAAAAAAATAACGATATTAGTTGTATCCGAATATTACAAACGTTAAAACTATAAAATTCGATAATATTTGTAGAAGTCCATTAACAATTATTGTTGATTTACTTTCAATTCAATTAATTTCATCGTTACGCCATTAGTATTTGTTTTATCTCGCAAACACGGGCAGGAAAATAACAACGAAAGAACGATTGGAGTAAAAAACAAAGCGTGAAATGCGGTTTCCATTGTAATTAAACAAATAACTTTCAGAAATGTAAGTAATACGTACGTTTCTTTATATATGAAAAGTATTCCCAAAATAGTAGATAAAGTTCCTTGAACAATGGGAAAGCCAACATGATACAACGAATCCTTCATCTTTTCTCTCGGCGTTTTGCATGTTGACGTCACAAAGGCGTATACCATATGAGCCGGATAATTAACGCAAAATCCGACGCACAGAATCAAAGTCGTCAACGATATTATATCTAAGTTAACTCCCCACACGCTCATGAAACCCAATGTTTCTATCGTGGTAGACACAACACAAACTGCCACAACGAGTGAACACAATATATTAGGTATCACACTGAAAAATACAATCGCGATCAATAAACCAGTGATCCAAAACAGTTGTTTAGCGATGCCATCGATGATTATTCCCTGTTCAATCATATTTACCAACATGTGATGAATAAGAACAGGGAAAGGTGCTTCATCCGCAATTTTCAAAAATTCATTCATAGTCGCAATCTCAGTTTTTCTGTTAGATAATCTTTTTGACATAACAAAGAATCGGCTACAAGTAATTTCCGAGCCATCCGGGCTGAATACCAAATCGTTTGAAAATTGTTCGGCTGCTTTAAATCGTAGAAAAACTTCTCGAAGTCCTTCAACGAAATCGTTTTTGTTCGACACGTTGTATCCTCTTAAGGCATATTTAGCAATGGATGTTTTCTGAAATTTTTTGTAATATCTCAGCCAGGAAACGGTCAAACGTGAATCGGCAACGTGAGGATGAGACTCGAATCTTCTGAGGAGATCTTCCACCGATTCCTGAACCTTTTCGTCCGAATAATCGAGTGTCTTGTTAATGATAATATGAATAGGAAATGAATATTCAGTAAAGTATTTGTAATATACTCGTGAACTTTCGTATATTTGTGAACCGGAGGGATACATATTTTGAAAATCCACTCCTTGCTTCAGAAAATACACTCCGTAACTTCCAAATCCTAAGTTGATTAAATACAGAATCAATACAATTACTTTCGTTGGTGTACGGTAAATGAAGTCTCCGAATTTATCTCTAATTATTTTCATGAAAATGTGCTCGTTTTCTGGGATGATTTGACAATCTTCCCTTTTCTGTGCTGTAAATTAAATTAATTAATTTTTTAAATTTGATTTCTTAAAAATTATTGCTTATTAATTTTGTAAGATCATTTAACTAAATGAGGTTTTAAGACATATTTTGTAATTGTTTTGAATCTATAAGTTTAAATGTTTAAAGACCGAATATGTATAATGATATTTCTAAAAAGTTTTTAAAAAATTCAAAAAAACATTGTGAGTAGGTAGGTTCAATAGGGACGATTTGTCGAACAGTTATCGGCGACAAGTAGGTTAGACTCTGTAACTTTGGATGAAAACGATGATAAGTTTAAAAGTGACCAGAAGTCTTACGATCTTCTTAGTCTTTTACCTGACACCTATAAAAGGTAATTCGTATCTTACCTCGCGATATTAAAATTTTATTTTAAAAATTCCGAGGAAGAGAGACTCGGGTTCTTATGACAAAGCGATTCTTATACGATAGAATAATATATATATTATTAAAATTTTAAAATTACCATACGACTTGAATGTAAATGGATGAAGGCCTTTTTCTTCTCTGTACCCGCTTAACGCCATACATCCAGCAAAGAAGGTTATTTGAAAAACATAAGTGAAAAATATGCAGGTTGCACAGTAAATGCAAAAGATCTTCACAACAACAATTGATGTAGTCATTCCGATGCAATACGAAAACAAATTGGTGACTGATGTTAAGGTGATTGAAACCCCGGCTGCGGCAAATGTGTCTGCCATTCGATTTTCTACAGGTTTTTCGGGATCGGTAATCCTCCAATTCGCAATCATCACGAAACTGTCGTCCACTTCGGTAACTGCAACATAATAAAGCAATCTTATCATACATTTGTTTATTATAATATAATTTTTAATTAAAAAACATCATACCTAGCACTAAGAATGGTATACAAATATTACAGTGAGTGTTTTCTACTCCGCAATATCCCAGTAATCCGAATGAAGTGACGATTGCCATTCCCGCAGACAAAACACTGGCTACTCCCATCCAAGGTTTGCTTCTTATCAAATTCTGACTCATGAATGTCGACATCGAGAAAATACAAATAAACGATACCACGGCTCCTATCATATATTTTAAATTGTGCAATAATAGTTTAGTATCTTCTTTTATAGACCAAACTGGATCTATTAATAGTTTGACATTTTGAAAGTTATAATTTTGTATTCGTCGATATACTTCGGCTGTCCAATTATCAACCAGTGGAATCCTTTCTTCATCAGTTCTGTCAACTAAGTAGAACAATCGGACGGCTTTGACAGTTTTTACGTAATCGTTTTCGTCGGTTGTAACGCCTCCCAAATTGATGACATACGAGCGATAAGAATAGGTCAAGTTGTCTATGTCTACGGGATATTTGAACCTTCTACGATTTAACACGTTTTCCTCATCAGAGATTATTTCAATAAATGAGTTTTCGAAGCATTTGTTACGCATTTTAACGCAAATATCAGCGTATCCAATTGTTCGATTGAACATTTGGATAGTGATATTTTTAACTATGGAATCAGCCATTTTTAATTCTTGAAGAATTTTTCTTTCTAACATATTTTCTCCATTTTTTCTTATAAAGTATAATCTGTTTCCATTTGGAGCATCAGAAAGTCTAATTTTATCAGAAACTGATGCGGATTTCCACGTTTTTTCAATAAATCGTTGTACAGAAAAAAATTTCCCGCTATCGGCTTTGAAACTATTAATTACATTTCTCTTGTAATTAAGTTGAAAGAGTCCAGCTATTGAAGCAATTGATAATAATACAGGAATGATTATAAAAATATATGGATGTTTTCCAATCGCCGTTCCTAAACGTTTAAAAATTGTTGATAATTTTCTTCTTACAATGTCTGGTTTCATTATGCAACGATCTGCAATTAAAAATAGCATTCGTTATGCACTTAACAAAGGATCCAACTTCACTTTCACAGAAACAATTGTCTAATTATTGCCAGACTCAGCATATCGCTATCTCAATGACATATGTAAATAATTAACTGATTACGCGTTAAGCAATGCTACTACAGTATTTTGAAATGCTTCTGTAGTGTGCAATAGTAATGGTCATAGATGTGGAATGTGTATTGTATTATTATTATAAAACATTTTGACATTTTACAATTACATCTTTATACGAATTGGAAGATATATTATTTTCTTTTTACTTTTGCATATGTACTTTGTATGTAACTAAGTTACTAAGTTATTAATCTATAAATATAGTATATGTATATGTACATTCTCGTTACACTAACAAATTTTATCTGTAATTATAGATCTAATTGTTGCGAACTGGTTCAATAGTTTTGAAAATTTCCTACAATAAGGTTTGCAAGAGACTGTAAACTTTTTATGTGTTATTGCTATAAAACGTAAAAAGTCGAAGCAAGAAACTTATAAACAGAATAATCGTGGCGCTGTTTTTCGTTATATTGTAAACAAACTTTCCCGAACTGTAGTGTGTAGTGTTAGAAATAATGTCTTCATTGGCATTGAAAAACAACGAGTGACATCACATGTCGTGACCCCAGGGGTTCGTGAGTTGAAAGTAAACACATCGACTTGTTTGCAAAGGGACTAGCGCAATTAGATTTGCCAACTCTGCTGTTGGCAAATCTAATTGCTCTATTGTTCAATGTTCAATTATTTCAAATTTTCGTTGGCGTTTTTCTTGTAAAACTCCTCAGCTAAGCACATAATAAAACTACACTCTATTATAGAATATATATTTATGCAAACATGACAGCCCTCTTTGAATTAATCAATTATGCCGAGCACAAGTTGAAAATATGTGGCGATCTAAAAGTCATTGCTGTACTCTTAGGAATGCAACTGGGGTACACTAAATACTGTTGCTTTTTATGTATGTGAGACAGTAGGGATAAGAAATTACATTACATTCAAGCGGACTGGCCTGCAAGAAATCTTGACTCTACCGAAAAAAATATCGTTGCCGAGCCTCTCGTGGACCCAAAAGAGGTTCTTCTTCCACCCCTTCATATCAAGCTGGGTTTAATGAAAACTTTTGTAAAAGGTATGAACCAGAAAGGACAGGCATTTAAGTATTTAAAAGACTAATTTCCTAGATTGAGTGATGCAAGTTGATAATACATATTTAAATTTATATAAATTTTTAATAAACAGGTAACCCCCGTATAACACGGGAGTTACGTTCCAAAAAATTGCCGTGTTATGCGAATCCGTATTATACAAAACAAAGAACTAGTGCGAAAAGGGGGGTTAGGTTCCAAAAATTAAAAAACATGTTGTTAAATCCTTATTTAAATCAGATTTATTATTCATTTTTTTCATAGGTAAAATACTTATTTACTATGAAACACGTTGTTTCATAGTAAATATGCACCCGCACCCCGACCCCGCAACACGTTGTTTTGGCTCAAAATGTATCTACAAAATGTATCAACACATTCCCCGTGGGGAAAATTTTTCGAAAAATCCTTTCTCAATGTACATTCTGTTGACGTACCCTATTAAAACGCAATCAAAAACACAAAAAACTGCATCTAAAATAGTATAATAGAAGCCAAGTTCTTCACGGTAAGCTTTAATTCTAACAATCTCCCCCAGTGGGGGGGATTTCAACACGTATATTATATAAAAACACGTGCGTATTCGAATACAGCGTAGTGTCAAAATTTCAAAAAAATCGGTAGGAACAAACGAACATTACATTTTTATTTATATAGACAGACAGAAGATGATCTGCTTTAGTTCATCCTCACAGAAAAGTATAATGCCTGACAGAAAAGCAAATTTAGGTCGTCGTACTTGTACCGCCATCTGTTAGACATCAAAGCCTTAAGCCTAGATGATATCTTTTAATTTATATGAATTTTTAACGGAATAACACACAGCCTACGTGCACCCTGAAGTTCCATTCTAAATTTTGGTGAAAGAATTTTTGAAATCAGATGAGTAGTTTCGGAGATTACCCCCTACATCCAAACTTACAAACATTATCTCTTTATAATATTAGTATAGATTGACAAATCCACATTCAAATATAACGTCTCACATATAACTACTCAGAAGCCAACAGACAAATATTAAACAATTGCAAAATAAAAAAAAAATAGCCACTTGTGTGATAAAACGACACTAACAAGTCGACTAAAAATGGAAATAAAGTAGAGCGTCGTTTATCCGAATCAATTGGGGACTGGGGTTCTTCAGATAACTTACTTTTCGGATAACCGATTATGTACGAAAAAATATCCCATGTTGAAAATTTTTACGTTGCGTGTCGCTTCGCGTTATATTTTCGTCAATGTTAAGCCTAATGTAGACTTTTTAAAATAATAATCGTGACTATTGTATCGTTAAAAATTATTTCTTTATTTTGTACAAACAAAATAAATATATTAAAAAATATAAAAACAATAAAAAATTATACTTCAGAAGTTAATTTAGTATCAAAAACGTAAAATATTTGAGTAGCCCAAGACATAGCCAAAGATTACAGGGCCACAGCACTAACGAAAATTTAAATTTGCCAACTGGAATTATTTCGGATAACCGACTTTCGGATAAACGACGCTCTACTGTAGTTGTATTTTTCCAGCATCCGGCCGACTTTTATCGCTTACTAACTTTAACATTGAACAAAAAATGAAATTCAATTTCAGATAAATCATTGTATTATTATCTGAAAATTGCACATAAAGTAATAAATGATTGATAAAAAAAAAGTTTGTAACGTTAGCAAAAAACTAATAAATAATGCTTGACTTACATTGCGAATCTTTGAAGTTGAAGTTCTATTGTGTTCTACACGCGAAAGTTTTTCTCCGTTATAACGTAACGTTGATCTTCCCAATGATAAGAAAATTGTCTGCTATTTTCCTCCAGGCTAAACTTTAAAATTTATATTAAGTTCTTAACCGAACTTTAATTTTATTGGAAAAAAAATGAAAACACATTATAATCTATAGACGTAGTTTCTGCTAAAGAATAGAAAAATTTCTTAAACAAATACAACTTTAATTTTTATATAATTCAGCCATTAGAAGACGTAGCTTATACTCTCTACGATCTGCACACGATTACAGAAGTCAGAGATTAAACCATGCGAACCGAGTAGCGACAAAATCGCTACTTTTTAAATTTACTCGCTCGTTTTAATCGCAGCGAGTAAATTCGTCGTCAAGAGGCTTATTTTAATTAACTAGTCGAATTTAATTCGGACTCAACTAAATGGTTAAATATTTAAGTTAAAACATTTAAAATGTATCGAGTGCATAGTTAAATATTCCCTACAATTGGAGAAGTTATGTTTTTTTATAATAAATATCTACTGAAGGACAAACTAATCTTTCATGACATTTGCATATAAACCACTCGGCAGTGAGCGACCACCATAATCGTCAAATTCTTTACAGGGGTATCGCCAAAAACTAGCCTAAAACTACCGCGAAAAACAATTCACATGAAAATTGAATTATATAACAATAAAAAAAAGACTTCTCTTTACTAGACATAACTGTTTACAGAATATTTTTTGAAACAGTAATGAGAAATAACGCGTGGAAAAATACTCTAAAAATTTCGCACGTTTATTCTCTATTACTAAGCGGTAGCATCATACCTGACTATTCCACAGTTGAAAGGTAAATTATAAAATTTAGATAGAACTTTTTCCCATTTGTTTATAAAATTGGCGTGATACAAACCTGTTTTGAATTTGGCAATGTTTCCAATTATTTTTATTTTATAATTTAATATATTGTATTATACTGTTAAAAAACTCTGTTAAAAAACTTGTTTACGTCTTCCTTTTCCTTCTGTCTGTAAAAATCAATCTTGTGATATAACAACTAAATAATATACACCATTAATATACTAGTACAAACATAATGCTAGAAGCATTATGTCTGTACTACAGACTACCTGTATAGTCATTTATATTGTACTGTAAACTACGTGTATAGTCATTTATTTTATATTTATAGTCATCATCAATATATGTATGATGACTATAAATCACATCTATGGGTTTCAAAAATGTCAGAAACTACCTGTACAGTCATTTATATTACAGCTGATAATTATCAGCTGTAATATAAATGAATATACAGGTAGTTTTGTCCCACACAAGATAAATTAAGCAATCGACCTCTAAAAGGTATTTATTTTTTGCATTAGACAGGTCTTTTCCTTATAGTATTTTCTCAAGTTATTCCAAAATATTTCCATTTTTTACGTTGTAAATATAGCCTATATAGATTGAAATATGGTTAAGATCGATTTGTTATGAACTTATAACTCATAGCACATAAGTCTTAACTATATTTATATTTACATATTTCTCCAATATTTAAAAAAATATCGGCCAATTCGTACTTTTTCTAAGCGTGCAAAAATCATGTTTCTTTCGCCTACCCAGTGGCAAGGCTGTCTTAACACCAGTACAGGTCCCTGGTCAAAGCTGGGCCTACACAACCGGAGGGCGATGAAAGAATTAGTGTTAAATTCCAGTCTGTGCATAAATTAGCGTTGGGTCTCGAGCAGTGGCGGCCTTAGGGGATGGCGAGCAGGGCAATCGCCCGGGGCCTCGCTCAACAACCAAGTAAAAAATAGTTGATATTTAAAACTTTTTATTTTATCCTTGGCGATTAGTTATAACAATAAAATAAATGTAATTCATAGTACAGTATATATTAATATTAATAAGTGCCTAAATAAAATTTCTTATTTAGATTTATCCACACTCACATTAGTATAAAAAGTTATTAGTATAGATTGACAAATCCACATTCAAATATAACGTCTCACATATAACTACTCAGAAGCCAACAGACAAATATTAAACAATTGCAAAATAAAAAAAAAATAGCCACTTGTGTGATAAAACGACACTAACAAGTCGACTAAAAATGGAAATAAAGTAGAGCGTCGTTTATCCGAATCAATTGGGGACTGGGGTTCTTCAGATAACTTACTTTTCGGATAACCGATTATGTACGAAAAAATATCCCATGTTGAAAATTTTTACGTTGCGTGTCGCTTCGCGTTATATTTTCGTNCTTATTTAGATTTATCCACTCTCACATTAGTATAAAAAGTAAGATTAACGATATCAAAATTAATTAATTTAATAGTTAATAATGTTTTATGTAATTTGACTGTAAAGCACATTTGAAAAATTCATTACTATTTGAATATTACCCCTCGAGCATTAGAAAACACACTTGAACGCGCGGTTTTGTTACTTTCGTGATTCATCGTGATTACGATTTACGCTCGGGGAATCCCCGTGTTTCATTTCGTTCGTCAACTCTTGTCACCTGACGCTTATTTTGATAGCCGTTGTATGCGTTACATAATCGTTTGTATATATCTTTCAGTGGGTAAATAAACATTAAATGGTATTAAGTTTCAGTGAATCTTACATTATTAACAGTACTTATAGTAAGGAGTGAACAGTTAAAAAAAACTGTGTAAAATTGCTTGCAAATTATTTCTGAATTCGTTTCATGTGCAAAACAAGATTTATGAAATGAGTTCGCGTGATCGTGATGCCGGTAGAAAATTTGAGTCTGGTAGTTCAAAAAGGAAACGAGCTATCAAAATAAAGCGGGTAGAAGAAAAACTACGTAAGTCTTTATATAAATATATAAAAAGTGATTGTCAAGAAACCTCTAAAAACCCGTCATTGACTGAAAGTGACACATTATTGCACTGTAACCTTAACCCAGCTGAAATTATTCCTTCAACATCGTCATGGATGCCACCTAGTAACAATAGCGAGGATAATGAGTCAACAACATCATTGTCTCTTACACTACCGCCGCCTTCGTCAACACTATCCAGCCAAGAATACGTATCTAAGTCTATGTCTACATCCACGACTGGCGGAATTGAAAATCTGAATCCTCAGAACGACCCAGGTTTGTGGCCATTAACAATTACTGATTCAAGTGAGACTAGCGGCAACTTTATAGATTTAGTAAAGTTAATAGCCCGATTCGATCCAATGTTGCGACTTCACCAAAAGCAAGTAACAGACAAGACGATTAATGACCACTATCTCGAAAAAATATTCAAAATGAGCTTATACAATTAATGGCAAGTCACGTGAAGGCTCAAATTGTTGACAAAATAATAAAGAATAAAAATTACTCGATTATTGTTGATTGTACTCGTGATGTTTTTTAATACAAATACAGCTGACATTGAAGAACATTTTATTGGCTTCTTAGCCGTCGAAAAAACCACAGCTGAGAGTTTGACTAATTACATAATCACAGAGGTAGAACAGTTGGGTATATCATTGCAAAACTGCAGAGGCCAAGGATATGATAATGGAGCCAATATGCGTGGAGAAAAAAATCGTGTCCAGAAACGTATACTTGAAATTAATCCACTTGCTTATTTTTTACCTTGTGGGAGTCCCAGCTGGAATCTCATCCTAGGAGATGCAGCATCCTCTTGTGTTCAAGCAAAATCTTTTTTGGTTTGCTACAAAGGCTGTACACTCTGTTTGCCGGCTCGAGTCAGATAGGCTTTAAGCTATTTTAAAAGCACATGTAAAATCCTTATCGCTAAAACCACTTTTCGAAACTACATGGGAATGCAGGGTAGAATCGGTGAAGGCCGTTAAATACCAACTAAGCAATATATGTGATGCTTTAAAGGATTTAACAGAAATTATATCAGATTGTCAGTTGGTTAGTGAATGCCATTCTGTAGAAAAGGAAATAACTACCTACGAATTTGTAGTTGCTCTCGTCGTATGGTATGACATTCTTACAGAGATATATGTTATAAGTAAAATCTGGCAGAACGAAAAAATGCACCTAAATGCGGCTATACAACACCTAGAGGCATTTACACATTGGCTTGATAATTATCGGGAAAATGGTTTCCAATCATCCTTGGTAACAGCGAGAGAAATAGCCGAGAAAAATGATATTGATAGAAAGTTCAAAGTCGTGAGAAGGAACGTAAAAGAACGAATTTTGATTATGACCGGAAAGATGAAGTTCTTGAATTGTCTGTGGAAGAGATTTTCAAAATAAACTATTTTTATGTCATTGTCGACAATGTGCGCGCAAGCTGCCAACCTAGATTTGAGGCACTTAAACATCATGAGAGCATATTTGGTTTCATATATAACATAAAAAGATTAAAGGAAATTAGTGATTGTGAACTTTTGAAGCAATGCAGCGACTTGCAAATATCTCTAACAGTAGGAGAAACATCTGATATTGATGGACATGAATTGTATGAAGAACTGAATATGTTTATCCGTGTATATGAAGGAAACGACGACATTATCTCGGTGCTGAAATATATAATAGAAAAAAATTTAACTGAAGTGTACCTTACAATGGAAGTAGTCCTGAGAATTATTGCCACCACACCTGTGACAGTTGCGTCTGCAGAAAGGAGTTTTTCCAGGTTAAAAATTATTAAAACATATTTGAGGAATTCGATGACACAAGATCGGCTTTCATCCCTTGCTATTCTTTCAATTGAAAATGACGTAGCTCATTCGTTAGATTATTCTGCTTTAATTATAGATTTTAGTCTTAAGCCGCAAACATCATTTTTAAATCCCTGTGTATATATTTTAAGGCATTTATGTACTGTACCTTAGTTTATCATCATTGATAATTTGTCGTCTTTATGTTTGTTAACTTTTATAAATCTTTTAATATAATATTTTAAAACTCTAAATTTATTTATTTATAACTTTTGCATTTCTCGTCAATCATCAGAAATACCTATTTCAATTCACATACTTTGCACAAAGGACAAGGGCCACGTTCAAATATAACGTCTCACGTATAACTACTCAGAAGCCAACAAACAAATATTAAACAATTGCCAAATAAAAAAATAGCCACTTATGTGATAAAACGACACTAACAAGTCGACTGAAAGTGGAAATAGTTGTGTTTTTCCAGCATCAGGCCGATTTTTAACGCTTACTAACTATATTACTTACTAACGCTTATTTTTAACGCTTTACTAATTATAATGTAAGAAGTGTTTTCATTTTCTTACTAATAAAATTCAAGTTCGGTTAAAAACTTAATATAAATTTTAAAGTTTAGCCTGGAGGAAAATAGCAAACAAGTTTCCTATCATCGGGAAGATCAACGTTACGTTGATCTTCCCGATAAGAAACTTGTTTGTTATATTAAAAACTTAATATAAATTTTAAAGTTTAGCCTGGAGGAAAATAGCAAACAAGTTTCCTATCATCGGGAAGATCAACGTAACGTTGATCTTCCCGATGATAGGAAACTTGTTTGCTATTTTCCTCCAGGCTAAACTTTAACATTTATATTAAGTTTTTAACCGAACTTGAATTTTATTAGTAAGAAAATGAAAACACTTCTTACATTATAATCTATAGACGGTAATATATAAATTTTTCTATTGTTTAGCAGAAACAATAGAAAAATTTCTTAAACAAATACAACTTTAATTTTTATATAATTCAGCCATTAGAAGATGTAGCTTCTACTTTCTACGATCTGGACAATCGCTGCACACAATTATAGAAGTCAGAGATTAAACCTTACGACAGCGAGTAGCGACAAACGCACATTTGTCACTACTCGCTGAATTTACTCGCTCGTTTTAATCGCAGCGAGTAAATTCGTCGACAAGAGGCTTCTTAGGGTGCGACTATGCAGACGCAAGCGAGCGAATTTTCCGAGTGAGCGAGAATACGTGGAGAGAAAAGACGAGACTCGATAAATATCAAAACCTGTCAGATATGTGCGAGAACCAGAAATTTGCTCTCGCCAGCGTTATTTCTCGCTTATCGTTTGTGCATGGTTTTCCTTTGCGAAAACTAAATCGCTCGCAATTTCTCGCTCGCTCTAAATTCGCGTCTGCATAGTCGCACCCTTAACTCGTCGAATGTAATTCGGCTTTAACTAAATGGTTAAATATTTAAGTTAAAACATTTAAAATGTATCGAGTGAATAGTTAAATATTCCCTTGAATTCGAGAAGTTATGTTTCTTTATAATAAACATCTACTAAAGGACAAACTAATCTTTCATGATATTTGCATATAAACCACTCGGCAGTGAGTGACCACTATAATCGTCAAATTCTTTAGAGGGGTATCGCCAAAAACTAGCCTAAAACTACCGCGAAAAAAAATTCACATGAAAATTGAATTATATATATATATAATATATAAATGGACGTGTGTGTCCCTATATTTCACTTTTTCGCCAAAACTACACATCGCACGTGAATGGTATTTGTATGTGTAGTAGCCCCAAGTCTCCATTCGTGCACTATGGTGGTTGCGTCTCGATAGCTATGAAGGTGCGGGAGATATGGGGCTGAAAGTGGTTTTCTGTTTCGAATGTTATGTTCGAATATTGTTCGAATTAAATTCGAACAATATTCAAATTTGAATTCGAACATAAAATTCGAATATTGGTTCGATTATAGAACCATCGTAAACGTTCCAGAAACGTTGAAAAT